ATCAAGTCACAAGTTGGTGACCTAACTACTTGACTACCACAGCCCTTATATAAAATTGATAAAGAGCCAAAATCACGGTTGATCAGTGCAATGGAAATAAGGATCACTTATTAAACGAAGCAGTTCATTAACAAAATGCGAAAACGAATGACTCCTCCTCATCGATCAGAAACTGATACGAGTGCAAATGGAAACTGTGCTATAGATTTACAAGAAACAATTAAGTGTCGCGTTTCACTTTATACGTTACGTTCGTTGGTTCCTCCAAAAAGATTTGCTGACTTCATTATTTTCATTACGCACTACTGTGCGCTGAACAGCACGAGTAAACTCCATAGTCACTAGAACCTACATAAACGAAGGATAACCGGTAACCTAAGTCCCGAAACTTTGAGCGGCCTCTAAAGGAATTGGGGCTGTATCGAGCTGGACGATTACCTGAAACTCTGCGTTCCAACCTCGGCATTGCTCGTCTCGTTTCCCCACCACAGATCTGAGATCAGTAACGGGATTAATGAATCCGTGCTAGCTGAGCGAATTTTCTTTAGCGAAGCGGTCAGGTGGTGAATGTCGCATACCACATACCGTCTTGTTGAGGATTTTGGACCTCGATTAATCACAACTTGGTCCAGTCAGCCTACCGAGCGCCGTACCGGGTTTAATTTCAGATACATGTTTTAGCTTTTTGGAGTTACAGGCTACAGTTGAATAAATGATGAAGATCAGAATATACTACTACGAACAGGACAGTTTATCAGCTCAGTTGCGCTACGTTTACCCGATGTCTCTTATATACTGTATAACGTAGTGCAGTCGTGGATAGTCCATGACCAGGTTTGAAACCTTGACGTTCGAAATGAAAACCAGCTAATCTGATATACCTATTGTATGTCACGGTGATTTTCTTGTTGACCAGTGATGACTATGTTACAAATGCGGTCTCTAATGAGATGTATATGTATTGCTGCAGAGCAACATATATATGGACATATAAATATATATATATATATATATATATATATATATAAACTTGTCTGGGGACAGACTGTTACCCGGTGTTGCAAACAAGGTTATTGCGATGAAAATACACTTCCTGGGTACAAGTATATGAATCAACTGACAGAGGATTACCGGATACACATATATTTAAATTTTATATTCTCACACATGTCTGAATCCGGACTGTGTCAAACAAATCGTGGTACAATAATCTTTATAAAAAAGAAAAACGTTCCATGATTTGCATGTGGGTGGAATACTGCCAGGTTGCCCAGGCCAAGGCAGGTGAATTTTCTTGAGGAATCCACGACCGGAGCCTTCGGCTAACCAAAGCCTGACCCGCAAGGCAGCCGGGCGATGTAAAAGCCTCAATCCATTGGGGATCTGTGTCCGGTTCATCGGACTATACGCCTTTCGGACGGGGTCAGATGTCCAAGGTGCCCAATTTAGCCGGTGACCACTGCCACAACCGAAAAGATGTGGACGTGGTTCGTACGCCTCCTCTTGGTTGGTTTGGAATCAGGGTTTTTAGCGAACTCCCCTAGGTGAACTACCAGTGGTCCACAACCAAGTTATAGTCGCGGATGCCGGCTTTTCGTCTTCTCACTTTGGTGGGAAAACACCTGCGTCACGAGAAGGCAGCGAGTAGGGCTTCCTCAGCAGAGGCTATTCGAGACGCTTGGTCGTATGGGAGCATTTCGTGAGGTGCAAGGGAAGGGTGACCAGCCGCAACCCTAGACACCCACCCCCGACCATACTAAAGCCTTCGGAGGCCGCACACATGTGCTGTTGACCGATGTCATTGTTGCATCATTCTTGGATTGGAATATCAGAACCGCCGTATTGTTTGTACCGTATGAGACTTCACAATCGGTCAACTCGTTACCGAACCTATTCATTTTTTGGGGATGTATGGTATATCCAGAACCTTGATTGTCCTTAACCATAACCGAAGGCTAAGTTGTTTGGTCTGTAAGTTTAATGCTTCCTAAGGTTCATCTTATTTGATAGCGTCCACTCAAGGTGCGTATGTGAAACCGAAAATCGTTCATAAAGCGTAGATTTCTCGTTCAACAGACATGTCCGTCACCACTAGAAATCCTGTGCGGTATGAGTCGATTGCCTCACCGAACCTTCAACATAGTCCTGACGTTGAAGTCACAACTGCTACGACAACACAAAATTTCTCTTGAGGTTTGTTGAATTTGTTTTCCTGCTTTTTATTCCTTTTTTCCAGTTCGTTGATTGGTTATGACATCCTATCATGCATTACATCATTACACTTCGTGTGCGCGGTTCATTGTATCTTTACCTGAATAGATTTCATGGAAGATGTGAACTCCGCATTTCAAACTGTGGTTTCCAAATTGACCAGCTGGGCCATCAGTTTGACCAATTGTTGTTGGCGGTTTTTGGAGATTCACTGGATCAAAGTAGTCGCTTTGGCCATTGTGCTAAATGCTGTAAATGAAGTGAGTCACGGTGATTGTGTAGTCCTCTCACACGATCGTTTTTGAAACTGCCTTTCCGAATTCAGGTTTCATCACAACATGCAGATTGCTATCACCTTCAACAGTAGATCGCTACAGACTGTGGACGTATCACGGATGAAGTGTTAACTCATGTACAGAAGACTCAATTGGCATTTGCCAACTTGAGAGATCTGTGGCACAATCGCGACACCCTATTGTCCGTGAAGGGTCGAATGTATACTGCGACAGTTCGGCCAGTTCTGCTATATGGAGTAGAAACTTGATCAGTACGAAAACAGGATAAAGATAGACTGTCGGTGTTCAAACTCCGCTGTCTAAACGGCACTTCACGAATCTGGTGGGGCAGCCGGATGAGCAATGCCGAGGTTAAGCGCAGAGTTTTAAATAATCGCGGGCGTCCGCTGGAGCAAGCGGTTGATCTCCGTAGATTACGTTGTTGAGGCATGTGTTACTCATGTCACCAGATCGGTTGCCAAGGCGAGCGATGTTTGCCGACTCAGGTAACGAATGGTAAACGTCACGGGTGGTCAAACTAGGACTTGGCATGACGGTATGAAAACACTAACCAGGAGACTTGGTCACATAGGTCCCATTAGGCTTTCTGAATGGGGGCCTCGGGTTCACTGTTGGAGACACTGAGTGATATGGCTGAATGTCGTACGTCTGCTCATTATCTTTGCAACCTCAGTCTACCGAAATTCCTGTATTTCTCCTACGGTTTATCCAAATGGGCAGCCAAAAAACAAACTAATACTGATGCACAAAATTGCATGAGTAATGATTGTGCAAATTGGAATTGCAGTTAATCTGATGGGCGCCGTTGGAAGAAACTGAATTTTTGTCACGAAGTAATGCTAATAAAGTCAGCGTAGTGTGCTCACAGAGATTGTGCATTGTATTAATCGAGCGGGCCTCGTAATGTTCGTACGTCAACCAGAACCTTAATATGTAAATGCTGACCATACCTGGTTTCCCCGTGCAGCCTGTTTCAATTCATGGACCTTCACGTAGTTTCTTTCACTACAGAGAGGAAAATAAAAAGTATCGTGCGATGGTAGGTTCTCGAGTAATTAGCTTCTACGTAACTATACAGTTTTCATCATCACACTTTCGAAACCTGAAGTTTCCACTAAACCGGACTACCGGACTGACCCTCGCTTGATGCACTGCACTTTTGATTCCATTGAGATGTCATTTAAATTCACTTTCTCCCTGTCTTACCCCATTCGTGCACAGGTCGCGGCCCCTCATTTGATTTCGCTAGTTCTGATGGTCATTTGTTTTCCATTCCCGTATCTGCATGGATTTTTGGCCACGATCATGTTTGTCTGGACAGGATTGCAGATTCTATGCAAAATGTGTTTCCAGTTGAGTTTTGTTCCGAGCAACTTAACACTACCTTGCGATATGGTGGTAAGTTCGCTGATTGCTCTTGTAATACAGTGTTCGCTACTAGGTAGTTCTTGATACCAGAGGACTGCATTTCAAGTACTAAAACGCATTATGTCATATTCGGCGTTGTCTTCATAATTTGTCACATCTGATCTATATTTTTATCACTTTCTTTACATAGTTGCACAAACTATTGTCAAGAATTGGGAAGCAGTTAGTAATAATGCTGTCGCGTAGTGCGAAAAGCGGGATCTGTTAGGCGGTGGTGGTAGGGTAAATACATTAGTGCTTGTTACTACTCGACCAATAATGCGTGTAATACACTTGAAATTTTTACCGGTCACGGGGTATGAACCACATCGTTATAGTTAAAAATAATCTTATTCTTCGTACAACATCTATTATTCATCCCTTTGATGTACTTTGTTGGATTCGGGCACAAAACGTCGGTTCACCTGGTCGTTTTCCTCACTTTTTATTGTGTGATTGCAGTCTGGAATTGTTAACAATTGGAATGCTCAGATCATTACTTTGTGTCGAGATTCAGTGTTTGTATTACTTTTAGGTCATTTGTGATGACCTTTGATTCGCACACTCTGGCAGGCGCGCAAGTGGCTGTGCGACCTGTCAAATCTGGAGCTTGGACAAACAGTTGAATAATATTTTGCTCACTTTTTCTCTAGGTGCATAGATTTGAGCTAAACATGCACAACTATGGAATCTTATTCCTGTCCAAAACAGTGGACTGACACTAGAGTAGGCATTTTGTGCCTCTTGACTCCTTTCTTTTGGAGTCTGTACAATCAAATATGCCGATATGTTCAAGCATCTCCATTTTCTTAACGATAAGAGGTCTGAATTGTTTTTCTCTTTAAATTCAACCATCTGCATGATTTACACCTTCAAGCATTTCTCCAGGTTCAAATCACTGACTCAGCTTTCAAGCAGTACTCATTCAACCGGAACTGGACGTGTTTGCGACTTATTAAGCGATTTATTTTCACTTCATGAAACTATCCGTTTGCCGTTTGGCTTAGTGTTTGACACGGGTAACCGTACCGTTTTTTATGTGCAATACCCATTACCATCCAGCACAACCGTGTTAAATAGTTATTTCGTCCGAGTACTACTAAGCTCAATTGGTGTACGGGTCATCCTCGCCATTTATTTAGACTGGCTCACGAAATGCTTATATCAGTTTTTCGGTTTAGCTAATAAATTGTGGGGAAACACGTAACGTTTCGTCTAAAATTCCTCTGCCCCTTACTCTATGTTCTGGTCCCTTGTTACTTTTTCCTATGTTCCACGGACGAAATATCCACGTGGTGCGATGCGTAAAATTAGGCTATCTAATTTTTATTTTCCATTCCAACAGTTTAAGTATGGGTGGTCGTACTGCCGCTCATCTGGATCGCGTTTTTCCACTAAAATATTACTTGTTTTTCCATTGGGTCCAGTTAGCTTCACGTCCATTCGTATTAGTTCAAATTCACTTCGCACAACTTGCGAAAATCTATCCGGTGATTCTCGTCCGTTCTTACCTCTCAGTCTAATTCGAATCTTCAGTCAAGTAATAATTAAAAGTAAATCTTATGTGGATCAAAGTTTTGCATTCAGAAATGTGCCCGCAATATTCGGATTATTGTGGATTCTCCTGTTGTCTTCCACACTACCTTTTATGGTCTTCGCAGCCTGACTGTATTCGAACTACGAGTAATTTAAAGAGTCACGTATTTGCTATAAGGATTGTTGTATCTCGACTTGTTCGGCTCGCACAGTCTGAGCTCAGACACTTGTGAACTATTGGGCTGTAAAATACTGTCTATCTGCAAGCGTTCAATTACTTTATACGCAGTTATTTATCCTCCACTTTTCTCATTGTATGTCGTTTCCTAATAACAATGGTTCATTAAGAATCGACCTGTTTCTTGCATGTTTGTAACGAGATAATTTTCTCTCTCTCGATAATGGATATCGGATAATTGTGACACTGTTCCCGGTCTTCCAGTCACACAACAATAGCCAGATGGATAATCCAGCATGGATCGGTCTCACCAAAGTGAACGATTTCTACCACTACAGTTTGGTACGTCTTGCGTTCATTTGTTTTCGAAAATTTTATTCATATACTTCTTTATCGTATAGTTTGGTTTATTCCGTTTTGCAGCATAATTGATTGAGAATGAACTTTCATTGATTATCTCCAATAGTTTTGAATTCAGATTATCTGACGCTGATTGCGCTTTTTACTGTAGGTCACGATTGCAGTGAACGAATATATCTGAAAAGCATGTAAAATCTTCGTTCCCCGAGAGAAATACTGACCGGGAAGCGTAATAAAATTGCAACATACACAGTTTTGCTACCTCTCTAGAGCACGTCACCGAATTAGATATAGAACTGTGACAAGAAATAGCTATTCTTAATCTACAGACGCGTAGTGAGCTGACAAAGATTCAGGTTCTTCTATCAGTGAACCATGTAGCTGAATCGTGGAATCAAAATCTTGACAATTTTTAACCTCTGCCTCATTATTCTGTCGATCCATTGACTTCTTTCTGGGTTTCCAAATTGATGCTCTGTGTATTGCCGGTCCAGGAAGGAGTATGCTATCTGGAGTATGGTATCTGTACGAGAAAATGTTCAATATTTCTTAGATGCTTTCATGAAATTTCGTTTATTGATATCATTCCATTACTAATATTCCGCCGTTAGACTGTTTAATATTCCTGTTTCTTCGATGTTTCAGCCGATGGGTGTCCTTATGATTGTGTGCGTGTGCTGGCATGCGATCGCTTATCGCCAACGTCAGTTTTACAGCGATCCGTACCACATTCGTCCCCGAGAAGGAATTGTGTTCCCGCAAGTTACCATTAATTCGATGGGTTATGATTTGCTCAATGTGGTCAAATTTGCTGTGAATTACGGATTCTATAAATTCGGACTGGAGGTGTGTTTTCATTGATTCTACTTCCGTATTGCTCATTCTGCTTCTCATTCAACATCTTTCATAAATTTTCCTATTACATGCACCATTTCTGAGTGATGAGTCATCAGTCAAATACTTCACTGTATCCAGGGGTAAACGGATTTAACTGTTCTGGGATTTTCTCAAAATACCTTCAATGACCTACACACCATGCCTCTTCTGAAGAAACTCTGCTCACTTCCTTCTCATGGAAGGTTTTTTCACTTTAGTGATTGGGCGGAAAGCTAGTCTTTGGGCTATTATCGAATTGATAAGCCACGGCATCTAGTTCAGTCAAGTCATAATTGCAAATCACTCATGATGAGGCGCATTCACATCTCACGGAACTGATGAATATACTGTCAAAGGCGCGATTATGCAATGGATTGTTTTTGGTGCCCTGGTCATGGGAACCGTGTTCTAAGAGTGTATGATGTGGCCGTTAAGACCTTGACCTGTAATAAATCGCGGAATTGGAACCTTGCCCCACTGCTTTGTGGGTTAAGCTTTTCTGTCAAAGGCTTATGATGAAGTCCTTCAATTGAGATTCCTACTCTGATTTGGGTAACCGAGCAAAATTTAAGGACACTCCCATGTATCACTCTGATAAGGTTTTTCTTTTTTGAGTTCCGAACCGAGAGAAGGTTAGAACATTTCATTTTTTATACTTTCTCTTCGAGTTTATAAAATTAAATAACCCTCAGACATCTGATACATTTTGAGCTATACCTAGGCTGTCTAGTTTTCACTTACTTTGTTTCGTTTGACGCAATATAATTGAATATATTCTTTTGACAAAAGAATCATCCGTTCCGTTTCCAGGATATTGACTGGTGGCTGTAAACCGACTTATCGCTTAGCTGATCCATGTATTTTCATCAAGACTGTCCGATTATTGTTACTTAGGGGGCTTTCTGTATATTCATTTTATCTCACAGGATCCATGCCCCTGATATAGGTTTTGTTTGTTGCGTGTAGATGGGTTATATCCACAGAGTCGTGCTCGAGGGCAGAATAACGCGCCATGGGGATACCCCTCTCGGGAAACGTCCACTTCTCGATCGACGGTCAGGGTTGTCCGATGAAGACAAATCTACTGACATTAGTTCCACCATCTGAAAACTGGTGTCGTCGTTCACTGTGTTTGGCAGTTTGTACAGTGCTTGGTCACATACTTGGGACCCTGAATAATCGGTCTCAGGATTTGTTTGTCAACACTATGTACCTTAGCCCCCGTAAATACATCCAGCGCCAACTCTTACATCACCTCAAAATAGCTAGACACCGACTCGATTACTGCTTGTCATCGCTCAAGGAAGCATTAGAGATATATGCCACATGCTGTCGTACATTTCTCTCTCTCTCTGTCCCTGTATCTATAAATATAAATATAAATATATGTGCACTGATTTGTGAGTCATGCTTTATGTGTTGGTCCAATATATCCCCCTCATTCGTCCATTTTATCTCCCCATTCCCTTGATGGATTCTTCTCTTGGTCTTCCGTGTGACCGAAGTTGTGTTATGGTATNGCTTGCCTGCGTGCGGATGCCTTCAGCGTGCTCTATTTGCTTCTGATGCTCATCTTTCTGTTCACGCCACGTGAAGTGTGCGCTCGATTATGGCTTCCGTATATGGCTATTCTGGCTGCTTTGATTCCTATACAGTACGCTGGATGTGTGGGGCTTCCACCTGGGCTATGTTTAAGTGAGTCTCCTTTTCGTCTGTCTCTGGAACTTCAAAGGTGTTTTTTTCCCATTGCTCGCCATATTGTGTGCGTTTTGTCGGCTCATTCAGTATCATTTACCACCAAAACTAGTCTCAGTGTAAAAGTCGAAACTGAAACTCAGTGTATCTCCCACCTTTTTCAAGTTCAGGAATCTTTCTATACTACTTCCCTTGTGTCACGTTCCACGGTATACAAGATATTTCCTTATTTTCTTATCTAAGAGCTTGTAAGAATTTTTAAATTCCTACTTCCGTATTTTCGAACAGTATCATGACTGTATTGCGCTTTTGTTTATCTGACAATGAATAGTGATTTTTTTCGGCTCGTTTCTTGCCACTGGTTCCTCCATTTATGTTCTACCGTTACGATCTCAAATGGAAATCTTTCACAAAATACTCGAAACTATATGAATTCCATCAGGGACTCATTGAAAACCTTGAACACGCTAGTATTTCCCTCTCCATAGCCACTGGGTATTTAGGGCGAGCATCGACCTTAGAATTTCTGGCTCAAAAGAATGAAATTGTAGGTTGAGAAGTCTTCGTTGTTTCACTTACGAATTGTTTTCATTTGAAAGTTGTTTTCTTGTGTCGATTTATTGGACCCGTTAGAAATTCGTCTAGAAGAATTCATCACTTCGATTTTTGACTTGATATCATCACATCCAATCTACATCTTCATTTCCTCCATTTGAATCGTTTCAGTTTACCCATGGATTACAGAATCGCAAGATACGGACAACCTACTGCAGTGGCTTTTTCTGCCCGGGCTGTATGGCTCACCAAATGCTAGAAAGCTCACAGGTCAGTTTGTCTACCATTCTTTGAAACAAGTTGTACGACTTAATCGTTCTTTTGTTAAATTCGCTCCGCCGATTTTTTTGTTAAAAATTGCGATTGGTCTTCACATCAACGATACTAATGATATCTGCGACAAGCCCGTCCTGGAAAAAACCCGTAATAAGATTGAATTCGGTTTAACTTGTACATAAAGCGAATATTGCGTGAATACGGTATCTAATTGCGCCGGTATTGTTTTTTGATACCTAGATTATCACTTTGATATTAGTTCGGTTCCCGTAACCAACACACATCCAATGAAACTTCCATATTTGATATTGAGTTATCTGTGATCAAAGTGCATCAAGTGCCGATTCTTCACCACATACCGGGTACAAAGTCGTGAGCCTGACCCGTAGCAACTCTGTGTCCGAGCCCCAAACCGATGCGACCAAAATTTACCAGTGTCGGTCTGTAACGCTTCGCGGGCACTGCATTTTAGTGAACGTTGCAAACCGCCAAGTACTGCATTGTGCTTCATGACTCCCGTTTTTACTACAGTCACGATTGTTATCGTTCGATGAACTTCCATGCACACACACACACACACACGCCTGTTAAGCCCGACCGGATTTGCTATTCAAGGACAAACACTGTATGCTTGACATTGATTCATTGTAAAATTATTCTTCACAACGCTAGTGCCAAATATTCCTCCAAAATATGTTGATTTATTTACTCATTTTGTCTCAATACGGATGTGAACGTTTCACGGGAAGTCCCGATACGTGACCACTTTTATCCGGGTTCCATGTGACTTGTTACACGTTTGATTTGACGCGTATTTGCAATGCTCACAAGATCATCATGGCCACGAAACCTACTGCATATCATGCCGAACCATATGCCCAAATTGTCACTTCTCAAGTTAACCATAAGGAATGAGTGTTTTCGCATTCCACCTAGGCTGTCAACGTATACATGCATTTGGAATACTTATTCTAGACGCAATTCGGTTTATTTTGCTTTATTGACCGATTATAGAGCCTAAAAGTACTCATTTAACCAAATTATCTTCCAATATGACAGTTCACCCACGATTTTCCATCCAGGACATGGACAGTAAAACGCTCTTTGTACTGTGAAAAATAATCCTAAGAATTATCTTGTCTGTCACATGTAGACTAACAAAATCTTACTACAATTAGAGCTGCGCGCTGCCGAGCGTGTCGCGAATAGAAGAACGGCCACTAAGGTTGTTAATCCTGAGTCGATCGGCATTGGTTCACTGAATAAGCGGTCACGGACGATCAGTGACCATGCCTGAGGACACGGGTTTTTGCCTGGCAGATGATTTCTCTGCAACAAAACGTCACAAATTTCCGTCAACAGCATCGTGACGTAAGCGAATATGGCCCGTGACTAAACGAGGCCACATTCATTATCCTGTTTAACTTGCAATTTACGATTGACTGTACAACAACTGGACGTGTGCCATCAAAGAAACACGTCGGGTGATACCGGAACTGCCATTTATGGTATTTTCCCAGATTTACCCACAAATCCATTCAGACATTCTTAACGCATGCTGCGTCTTCCCTAGGAAACAATGCGCCTTGCGCTCTCTCAGAGGCTTTGGTGTCAAGACAATCAGCTGAGAACAAATCTACGACGAGGTACACACCTTACTTGCTGGAATGTCGGGATCTTCTTAGATGTTGATAGTCTGTGCCTCACTAAGTACTTACTACTCAACTACGCAGTCGAAGTAGGATTCTCCTACTTGGGATCAAGGCGAATTAAAGTGACCCGTACCGATGCGGCCTGCTACCTCTACTGCAAAAGATCCGCTGACAATTTCTAGCTGTAGGATGTGGTTTGAGCAGTGAGCAAAGATACAAGGAACGCTCTGATTGCATGTAAACCCATCTTTTACAGAATCGTTATAGCGCCTTTCGGAGGATTACCACCCAAACGTTTTAGTGATCTCCATCAATGTACCAATCTTACCAGCAAAGAAATCTGTCAAAGATGAGTTTTACAACCAACTATAAGATGCAGTCAACAGAATGTCCAAACACCAGCAATTGGAATGCACGCACCTGACCATCAGACGCCCACACAAAATACCTTTATTTCAATTCGTACTTGGTCACCGATGTGCCTGCAGAGAACGTCTGATCACGTTTGCCGACTTCGGTCAACTGGTTGTCTCCAGCACATGATTCCAACAGTACAGAAAGAAAATTTCGACGTGGTAGTTTAATGAAAGCGGAACAGCGCATCAGGTCAACCGCATTCTAATATGATCACTATAGGCGGCGTCCGTTCGAGACTGTTAAGCATTCTTTGGCACTGAGATTTTCAACTCCAACGGAACGTACTACACAGCAGTTCGTACCGGTATTCGAAAGGACAGGCAATGTCGCCATCGTACTCTAAATCGCATAGATCTTTTTCCAGCTGTCCATTCAACAGTGACACTTTACAAGTTTCTTAGTTTGTTCTCAAGTGTTTCGTCTGTGACGAAATTGAATAAGATTGGCGAAATGGGACACCTCAGGGAAACACTGCTGCTGGTGATGAATGGTATGCCTTGCTCGCTGTAGGCTTTTACTCGGACAGAAGTGTGTCATTATCATCACTGTTTGCAGTTGACTGCCTTTTAATGGCACAACTTTTCCTCTCATTTCTACTTCACTAATCGTTTTTTCGATCGCTCATCATTTTATCTGGGTTTTAAATTATCGTTCAGTTCCTGTACCGGCATTAGTTCACGGCTTTTGAAACTACGGAACCACATGTCTCCCAATTTTGTGTATATTACAATTCTGTGCAGTTTTTTATTGGAATTCAACCTAGTTGGGCGCGATCGCACAGAAATTCAAGTTGGAGTCATAGTTGTTTTCTTTACCGATTCATTTGCGTTGATTTTCTCAGTCTCAAGAATAGTTATTACGCATTGCCATGACTTGCTTGTCATCGTCAGGATGATTGCTTTTATTGGAGCAGGAACATTGCGCTCGTTGTTATGAGTGATCTTTTGTTCTGACTCCATGATCGATTTCTTCATAAGTAGTGCACGAGAGTGTCATCTCACTACTCAACCTATTCTCACTCGTCGTAATTCGGCAAGTTCACGTCGTGGATAGTTATCTTCGTCACTTTTCATTTTCATTTTCTAAGACTTATAATGGTTGACAACCCCATTGTGTTGGTTCTACTTCATGATTTTCGATGTGTTCTCAGATCATTTCATCGGAACCAGTGTTAATAAAAACTACCACTGTTCCATTTTTGATTTTTATACGTCTTCTAATCNGCTTTTTCGACATACCGTATAATGCGGGTTCGGTTAATTTAAGTTGATTGAAACCTAGGAATTTTTGCGGAATCTCATCAATCGGCTCTCTTACTCGCTACATTCACTCTCATCACATAGTCTTTTGTTTCATTCCTGTCCGAATGTAGCGGATTTTTTCCAGTTCGCAGCTGTGGCACTTCAGTACCACGTGTTCAAAATTGAACAGCGACCAGATGCAGAAAGTTATGGCGGAGGTCCAAATCGGCCGGTCCTTGCGAACAATCCTCCCGGTGAAGACGAAAGAGATTTTGTTAGTTCAAAAGAGTGAGTACCATCCATTTTTCTCGTTTGTTTGGATGCACTCGCAGACGCATTCATATTCACTGTTAACCGTCTCTTTTTCAGATCCTACCTGGATTACATGCGTCACGCAGTGTTCTACTGGTCCTATTGGGTCAGTTTGGCGATTGTGTTAGCGACCGGAGTGACGTGGATAACACTGTTCTGTCTGGGCTACATGATTTTGAGTTTCATCTATCTCTGGATGGGCCAGAACGTGATGCTTCGTAAGCGGATCAACTTGATCAAATCGTGAGTTGTTAACGCACACCGGCCACACGTGATCGCGCTTGTTTTCTGTCTCACCTGCCGGGGGATTTCGCGTTTTGTCTGAACCCCTCTTATGCTTTTTGCTGATACTTACTCGCCATTCGTCCAGGCCCCTTCTTATCCTCACTCAACGCACAGGACGGGAACATTCGATTCGAAGCTGGATAACTCTTTTTCAGTTGCAGCAACCGTTTGTTCGGTCGTTGATCCGGACTGCTGTTTTCCACAGCTCGTTTAAAATTGATGATTTTAACGGAACAAAACCTGTACTTAGTTTATGACGCCTCTTATGCCAAACCTCTATGAGGATTTTATGGTTTTCATGTAGCCCGCTTATCTTTCAAGGAACCAGTCGCAGTAGATGTGTAATTGATATACAACCAAAGTGCACGCGACACTTGGCTTTCCCATTTAGTTTAGGCTGTCCAGCGAACTTAATCAACGGGATCATAGTAATATATACACCCTCGTTCCGATCATTTATTTCTATACCTTTTCACTCCTATTAATTCCGTCCTCATCCGATATCGACTACCGACAAGATCTACCTGCAAATATACGAGTGTCATGTGTCGAACACACTAATCAGTGGGTACGGAATGACCTCATCTGTATTCCACGTCACAGTTCTGGTACGCCGCGCTCAGCTCTGGTAACCTGGTCCATTTCATCGTTCATGCCACGCTACAGATACGTTGACGCTTAAGTCGACGGTTAGTCGATAGTGTGATATTCATGTATCGAAATCAGAAGCTTTTCAGATCCGCATTCAGCAATGAAATGGCACGGTGATCCTGATTAAAAAGGTTTATTTTACTATCGCTGGCTCGTACTTGGCTAAACTTCTAACCTGGTAGTCATAAACAGTTTCGTTTCCTGCGGCACCCATGCTCCTAGGGCTCGGAGTAATTCATCCCTCGATCACTCCGGGGCCTTGCGATCATGAGGTTCACTCCTTTCTTTCTTCTATCACATCAGGAACTGTGGTAAGAACCTTTCTGAGTTCTACTCTGAGCAGATGCGAAGGGGTACATTTTCGGATTTTTCCAATCAGACAGAACTGCAATTAACTTTTTATTGTTATTACATATCATGCTGAAATGTGATATACTCCACAGACCAGTGCTGCTTGATTGTAGGAACCGATAACCAGAGCTCCATAGTTTCCAATGACCTCTATGAGATAACTGCGGTTTTGAGCATTATTGGTTGGAAATCCTGTTTTGTCCAGGGTGGACATACACAGTAGATTAACTGATGATGTTTCTCAGTCCGGTTCAGTCCACGCAGTTAGTAACACTGTACTTCTTGTGCTATCTCCCAGTTAAGCTTTTTGCTGAACAGTCACATATGATTACTATCAACAGAAATTCGTTCTCCGAGAAAGAGGTGTGAAAGAATTTCCCAACTGTTGTTATCCCTTATCCTATTGAAAATATATTGGGGGTAGGAAAACCGAATCATTTTCGCAGCCTTTCCCATTTTGAAGATACAAAACAAGTACAAGAAGTCGTTTTTTGCTGCCTTTGTTGGCTTGCTGATAGAAAACCGGTAGAAA